TATATTATATTTTTTACCATCATCTTTATATTAGTTAATATATTACATTTTTAGAGATTGTTTCGATTATATTTTGAAATATTATAATTGATTAATTTTTCAAGATATTTTTTTTAGTCATTTTACATTCTCATCAACTAGTTTTATCAAACATGATTTATTCATCAGCTAACTTGTAATCTTGAATTTTAAGTAATATGCATCAATAAACAGTATTTCATAATTAAAAAGTGATTTTTAAGAGTTTTTGTCAAATGTTTTATAATATAGTATAGATAAGAACCTCCCAGAGGAGATGCTCTGATATAATAGACAGAGTTTCAAACAAAAAACATACAAACCAATCTTAACTGTCAATCTAGACTAATGAATATTTAGTTTTACAAATATCTGGTTTGTTTCATAATCAAAAGCAATGATCAAGATAAAATGAACTATATCATCTTCCATATTTTTTTTATTAACCTGGATATCCAACCTGCTATGCGAGCTGACTAATATCAGGGTGACCACCTGCTTTTGCAGATAGCTCGGAGTCACCGTATTTAAACTTCCATGGCCACAAGGGTATTTTTATTCCTCCTTGGATTTGAACCTGAGACCTCCTGGTACTTTTGACCTTTGGAGCCAAGCTCAAACCAATCAGACACCATCCTTGTGGTTAAAATATTATTATTATAATGAATGAATCATAATCATATTTCTATAAATATCTCGATTTGTCCTAATATAAGGCTTGTATGGTTTATTTCATTTACATGGTTTGAATTTAAAACCTCCTATTATGTCTTAATAAACATTAACTAATGTTTACTAACATAACGATTTATAGCCGAATGATCGTGTGGGAATAAAAGTCAAAGATCAGCGTAAGAAGAAATCTAAATCCTTGATCACTTTTAATCTCACTTTCATCCCATGAATCGCGCTTCTCATGGGAATCGATCTGTGCATGCATCTCATTACTGTTGATCTTCAATTAAGATTGATTCAAAGATAAATATCACTTTTTACTCTTCTCACAATAACTTTCATTCTCACCGAAACCCAAGTACAGTTTATAATACAGTAAAGATATTTACATTTTTCTTTTGTTTAATTAAGGGGTATTAATGGCCCAAATTGACAACAAAATGTGAACCAAGCATAGAAAATGACAATTTACGAAATTAGAGGGTGTCCATAAATAGTCCCTCGGATATTTTATTTTCCATTTTTTACTCTCAACCACAAACCCCCTAAGTTATTCCACTTCCTCCTTAATAAACCCTCCACTTTACCTTTATTACCATTTTGGCATTTATTTTCTTCTTCCCAAATTTCATAATCATGTTCTTCGTGAACCCCACCCATCTTTCATAATCTCATAACCTAATTGCGTCTATAAACTTGTATATATACAATAATTTCGATTTGAATTCAAATACATACCATTATTTCCATCAATGGATCCAGCAGAGCTCCGCCGCGTCTTCCAAATGTTCGATCGCAATGGCGACGGGAAGATCACGAGACAAGAACTGGCAAAATCGTTAGAAAATTTGGGGATCTACATTCCGGACGACGATCTGGTGCAGATGATCGATAAAATCGATGTGAACAGAGACGGATTTGTGGATATGGATGAGTTCGGCGAGCTTTATCAGACGATATTGGGGGAGAGAGATGAAGAAGAGGATATGAGAGAAGCGTTCAATGTGTTTGATCAGAATAGAGATGGATTCATCACGGTGGAGGAATTGAGATCTGTTTTGGGATCGTTAGGGTTACGGCAGGGGCGGAGCTTGGAGGAATGCAAGATGATGATCAAGAAGGTGGATGAAGACGGTGACGGAATGGTGAACTATAAAGAATTCCGGCAGATGATGAAAGCCGGTGGCTTCGCCGGATTGCAGCCTTGAAATAGTTTTCATTTTATTATTTCATTTAATTATTTTTTTATCTTAAATTTACTGGGTTGGTTTGATTTGATTAATTTTTTTTATCTTGAATCTTGATATTGTATCGATATTTAATTTACTTTTGTATATTATTTTTTGATTTTACTCAATTACTGAGTAAGTGTTTACCGGGTGTCATTTATCTTACTGGGTAAGCATGACATTGGTCTTACTCGGTAAGAGACGTAACAAAAGAGAAGACTCATAGGATTTGTTTATCATTTGGTCAGGTATATATGACTATTTGGTAGTAGCTTGATTAGAATAAGGATGATGATTTGCCTCGACCAAGTAGGGAACCTGACTCACCCGACCCGAACAATGACGAGGATTCCCCGCTAAAACGGGTCCCAAGACCGGGGTCAGGGGATCCCCGGTAGACTCAAACTAACGGATATTTTTCATAGGGTTTGACCGAGAACGGGATGTTAATCCACGTGCCCGTCGGGCCGAGGGTTGTTACTAAAAACTGGGTCGAGACCGGGGATTACAAACCCCTCCTTGTTGCCATGCTTAAATTAGGAAGCTTCTAGAGGATACTTTTGCAGAAAGTCAAGTTTTTCTATACCTGTCATTTCCAATTAAATAGCATGCTCATTTCATCTATGAAAAAACATTCCAAACAAAAACTTTCTTAATCTATATAGACTAGTTAATTTACACAAATAGCTTTATCCATACAATATACTTGATGAAAAACCAACCAAACAGCCCCTCACACAGTATACAAATTACCTTGTAAAAGACATTTACCAACAATATTTTTTATGATCGAGAATTTTATCGGATAAGATAACTGAGGACGGGATTCTTACTATTAAACATTTACCTTTTGATTTATTTGGTTTAATTATTACATTACTGTTATTCTTTTTATTTTATAAAAATTATTTCAGCTTTATAATTGTAAGATATTTATAAAAAAAATATTACATTATGCTATTTCTTACAAATTACAGTATTTATAAATTATTATTTTATATATATATATATATATATATATATATATTATTTCTTATTTCTTGTGACATTAAAAATATAATTGATTTTAAAAGGATCAATATCGACTCAGTTCTAAGTATTGAACAAACAACTCAAAAACAGAGCCCTCGAACAAAAAACCAAAACGAAGCAACCATTAAAACCAGAAACACAACAACAAAACACAAGACTATGAAACCTGTACGACCCCATTTATAAAGACGGACTAAGGGCCGTTTACTAAATATTTACCCGACAAGTGTGGATCGGGTAACTTTCCTCACCTGATGCACGTGACAATGGTTGAAAATCTTACCCGGTAAGAGCAATGATAGGGATGGAGAGTCTTACCCGGTAAGTGATGGTGAGGACTCTTACCCGGGTAAGTGTTTACCGGGTAAATTGTTGCATACGATACCGTTTTATTATACTACAATCTTATCTGATAAAATAGATGATATTGTTGACTCCTACCGGTAAGCGTTTTATTGGATAAGTATTTGGGTAAACAGCCACTAAATAACATCTATCATCATCAAGATAAAACCGACCTTAAGAGAAAAATCAACACCCAAAAACATGCCACCATTTGCTGATGAAAAATCAACGTATGTTAATGTATTTTCATTAAAACCCAGTCTTATTTTATTGTATTTTAATAAAAATATTATTAATTTATTAATATAAGAGGGGTATTAAATGAAAAATAAAAAAGGTATAAAATAAAATAAAATAAAATAAAGGTGCTTTACAACTGTTAAATGTGACTTGAGATGTGCTGCCATTACTTTTCGTGAGTTGCGATATTCCCCCTTTGTTTGCGACATGGTCTCACCACATGAATTGAAAATAAAAGAATTTGCTTATCCATTTGTAAATTCTTGGTTATTTTGAGAGAATCACATAAAACCTGACTAAAAAAGTGAAGAAGGTATGGGAATGTAACTGTTTTGGATATAAATGGCTATGGATCGGGTTCGGGACGATTATTGGTATCCCCGTTTCTGAAACCGTCCTCATAAACGTCCTGATTCTTGTTGGAGAACCCGTTAAGAATAAAAATTCTCTTTTTCTAGTTCACCGTTAGATATACCCGAACCCGAAACACGGGCCGATCTAAAAAAATTACAATATTTTAATCTTCACAGATAAAAGTAAATTACATTTTTTTAAAGATGTATGTTTAAATGTCTCAAACACAATCGAATCAATTACAAACAATGTATTAGATTACAATATAAAAGTAAATAGAAATTCAAACATCAAAGAACTTACATCACGATTTCACGATTAGGCAAATAAACTAGACCTTTTAGTGAGTCATATTTGGATTGTTGAGGTGAAGTGGTTAAAAGTGTTCTAAATTTAATGCTACTATCTGTTTAATGATACTATATGTATATGTATATATATATACAAATTATATATACATACATACATACATACATATCGGGCCGGGCCGGGCTGGTGATCACCGTCCCCACCCCGTCCCCGTTAAAATCCACGAATATGTCCCCAATCCCTGCTCTGTCCCCAATTAGATGTCCCAAACCCGACCGAAAGTTTTGATTTCCAGTTTTTACCATTGGTTTCGGTTTTTTTATCCCTAGTTTTGAAAAATATTCCAGGGTTCCTTTTTAATTGGTATCGACAAATATAGAAAAAAAAACATTTTTTGTGTTACATATACGTTTAGGAGTCTTTTCATGTAAAATAAAAAACACTTAGATCCCGTTTGGTTTGAAGGAATGAAATGGATTTGAGTGGGTTTGCATTTTAATTTCATTTCAATCTCATGTTTGGTTTGTTGGATTATCTAGATTTAAAATCATAGGATTTAATTGAAATTCTTCAAATATAAGATTTTGAAATCCTCAGGGAGTGCTCGGGATTTCACGTGATTTCGTAGAATTGTATGCAATAAGGTTTTAATAAATGTTAAAAATATTTGTTTTGTAATAATCAATTAATAAAAATGTGATTCAATTATTTTTATAATTTTTTCTATAAATTATTTATAAATAATGAAATTCAGTTCTATTTCAAACCAAACACACCAATGATTTCAGATCAATTTTGATCAAAATCCCTCAATGAAATCCAAATCATTCAAAAACAATCCTGCAAACCAAACGGATCCTTTAGAGCTTGACTTGCATGAGATGTACCAATTAGGATATGTGCTTGCCAAATAATTTTCACTCATTTTGGTGCGTTTGGTTTACGGATAGGAACGGAAAAGATTGGACGAACGAGAATACGGTTGTCAAGTGAAAGAACTGTGAAAGATTAGGGTTGAGTAGAAGATCCAACCGTTCATGTGAGAACCATAAATAATTAGAGAATCAAATAACTGATTTTATATTGTGCATTTATTGATAAGTTTAACACTATATAAAATTAATTAAAATGTGTATATATTTTTTACAAGTATATTCATCAATGAATATAAACTATCTATTCATTGATGAATATATTTAATTGTATTTTTATTATGTCAAAAAGGATATTGAGCAAGGAACATAAATCAAGTAGAGTTTTGATTCGAAATGTGAGTAGTTTGATAATTTACTAATATTTTCACATCGTAAGGGTTATTTGTTTATCTCTTAATAGCTTTAATATCTTGCTTGGATATTTCAATTCCCAACTCAAAAAGATGTGTGAATTTTCACTCTTTTGATAGTTGTTGAATAGTTTGGTGGTCCAAACTACCCCTACAATTGAAGCTGTTAACAAATAAACAAACAACCCTTGGTCCCTGTAGTTTGCTCAAATTTTGGATTTGGTCCTTAAAATAAGCTATCTACACTGGTGGTCCTTAACATTTCATTTTCATAACACTCATGGTTCATTCACTTAACAATATTAGCTAGCAACCGTTATGATGGACTCATTGGTCTTTTCAATATTTTGCTCGCATATTTTAATTCTTAACTCAAAAGATACATGAATTTATTTCGATTTCTTTTGTTTTTCTAAACTTGAGATTTTTTTTAGGGAAAATTGCATCAAAATGGAACCAACTTTCACCTAATTGCTATTTTGGGGAACTAACTTTCAAAATCGTCATTTTGGGGAACCAACTTGCACCTGATTCCTATTTTGGGGAACCAACTTTCAAAATCGTCATTTTGGGGAACCAACTTGCACCTGATTCCTATTTTGGGGAACCAACTTGCACTTGATTCCTATTTTGAGGAACCAACCTTCAAAATTGTCATTTTGGGGAACGAACTTGCACTTGATTCCTATTTTGGGGAACCAACTTGCAAAATAATTATAAAAAAATAATAAAAATTCGTTTTTTCCAAAAATTAATGCAATAAAATTTATTTTTCATTTCAAATCTCGTTTTTTTTATTCAGATATCAAATTGAATATTTAAAAAAAAAAATCAAATTACCACAATAAAATATTGTTTTTTACTAATGCAAGAAAAATCAATTTAATAGAAAAAAATTAATTGATGCAATTGCTTAGATATAAAAATCTTGAATATGATATTTAGTATTTATTTTTTATTGCATCAATTAATTTTTTTTATTAAATTGATTTTTTTGCATTAGTAAAAAACAATATTTTATTGTGGTAATTTGGATTTTTTTTAAATGTTCAATTTGATATATGAATTAAAAAAAACGAGATTTGAAATGAGAAATAGATTTTATTGCATTAATTTTTAGAAACAAACGAATTTTAGTTATTTTTCTATAATTATTTTGCAAGTTGGTTCCCCAAAATAGAAATCAGGTGCAAGTTGGTTCCCCAAAATGACGATTTTGAAAGTTGGTTCCCCAAAATARGAATCRKWTGCAAGTTGGTTCCCCAAAATGACGATTTTGAAAGTTGGTTCCCCAAAATAGGAATCACATGCAAGTTGGTTCCCCAAAATGACGATTTTAAAAGTTGGTTCCCCAAAATAGGAATTAGGTGAAAGTTGGTTACATTTTGATACAATTTTCCTATTTTTTTAATACTAATTCTTTGTGAATTTTATAGTGTCCAAATAAATTAAAGATTTTTATTTAACATACATTTTATTCAATGTGATGGATATAAAAAATATTATAAACAAAAATAGGAAAAAAAACGTTAATTACATTATATTTGAGAGCACGTTACATTTTTAGTCCCTATAGTTTGTTCAAAGACCAATAAATCCATCATAATGAGTGTTAATTAACATTGTTAAATGAAAAGATCATGAGTATTATAAAAATGAAAAGTTAAAAACCATCGGTATTAGTAGTTTATTTTAAGGATCATATCCAAAATTTAAACAAACAACAAGGATCACCATTTTTCTTTTCAATCTTGTAATTAAGATTTGGACAAATTGAATGAAAAAAGTAACGTACTTTAATTTGATTCATATTTTGGGTAACGTACTTTCAAAACTTACATTTTGGTATATAAGATGTAAAGTTTTAAACATTTAAGTACCCGGGTAACCAGTTGAAGCATTAATCGGTTACCATGCTGATGTGCCGAGTGATGTGACATCCAACTCAGTATTATTATCTATTCAACACAATTTCATCTCATCACTCGCCACATCAGCATGATAACTAGTTAATATTTCAATCAGTTATACAGATATTTAAATGTTTAAAACTTTATATATTATGTACTAAAATAAAAGTTTTAAAAATACGTTATTTAAAATAGGAATCAAGTTAAAGTATGTTATTTTTTTATACAATTTACTGGAGAATTGAAGAAAACTTATTTATTTTAAAAAGGAAAAAAAAACAATAATATAACACTTGTTTTCTGATCAACAAGTACAAAGAATGCATATTTATCGACCATAGGAATGGGGCCAAAAACTAGGGCTTTGGTTGAAACAGATTAAAACCCCATGATCTCAATTGGAGCTTTCGCTCGAATCTATGTAAACCCGATAGGCAACATAACCCTAGGCAATCGTAACTTTAAGGGAAAAGGATCAAGAAATCATGATCGGAACTGTTGCTTCGATGGCATTCTGCAAATCTAAACAGTTGAAGAATCTCATCTTCATCCCCTTTTTACATCGCAAATTTCTTCACAAACCAAGGTACGCACTCTGTATATGGATCTGTTAAAAGTTGAGGAAAATGCGCGATTGCTCGTAATTGTGTTTGATGTTGAGTAATTGATCAAAGAAATTAGGAGGATATTCGTGTATTTTGCTATTTGAAATCAATATCCGTAAATTGTGATTGTATTCTAGTTTGTTATGTATGCATAATTTCATCTTCAATCAACAATACATGATAACTACGTTTCCAGAAGGAATCGAGGGAAGGTGCGGTTGCGAGAGAGTGTGCTGTGAGAAGGTTTAGGGACGTTAGTTTGCAGGATTTGGAGGAATTTGGAATTGGATTCCATTTCAATCCCACGCCTTTGGTTTAAAGGGAAGTCCGGTATCGGAATCCTGCAAACATTGGATTTAGAAATCTCACTTGTAATTGGTATTTCACGTGATTTCATTGGATTTGTTTGTAATAATCTTCTAAAATATATTTAAAACATTAGCATCAAAGATTCCGAATCCTTTCAATTCTAAATCTTTTAAATGAAATCTAAATCCCTCAAAAACATTATTGCAAAGCAAACTAGCCTTAGTTTTAATTTGACATGGGTGGTTTAGTAATTTACTAAGCGAGTCCCGACTTAACATTGTTACTCCATCTATTTGTCACCCACTCATGTCATGTCCCATCTCAGTCTAACTGTAGCACCACACATGGGGCAACAAGTTTTTGTCCTGTCATGCGCTGTACCGTCTTGCATTCCAAATGCACCCGGAGGAATTTCCATGTACATTTAGGGGGTGTTTGGTTAGAGGTATCAAGCAATAATCAATGGGAATGATAATAAAAGAAATTGTTTGGTTTCATATAATATAATGGGTTCATTTCCTCATAAGCCCAAATTTTCATTCCGAGTTAGACTGTGGGAATGAAAAGTCATTCCCATTTTCATTCTCTGTCATTTTCTTTCCCATTTTCATTCCCCAACCTGAACCAAACTAATTTGCATTCCCATTTTCTGTTTTAGGCTTTCACCATTAGAGGATTTTTCTGCTAATCTCATAATGTGGTAGTTTTTCTGATTTTCTACACAAGGTTTCGGGTCATGAACCAGCTGTTATATCATACGGAACAGAAAGATACCTCCATGGGGGTATCATCTGGTCTCATTCAGCTCCAACTATGGACATGGTTCACAAAGTTCTAGAGCCAGCACCAAGATCTGGAACCGCTAATGGTTCAGCCGAAGCTAAACCAAAGAGGAAAAAGTTAAAGGGTAAAAGAGCAGTTGTAAGGTGGTTGAAGTTCTTCAGATTCAAGAAGAAGAAAGATTACGAAAGAATGACGGCAGAAGAAAAAATTCTCTTCAAACTGAGAAAGGTAAGTAACTTTTGCTTATATGCGTAGATAGTTGCATACTTCCGTCCAAAAGGGAAGGTTTAGATGAGAACCGTAAATATTTTGAGAACCAAGAACCAACTATTAACGCCTTGTTCATCATGAATGTCATGATATATGTTCATGATGAAAATTATTCACACACACACACACACATACATATATATATATACATACATATATATATATACATACATATATATATATATACATATATATATATATATATATATATATTACTGGCGAAAATGCATAAGATCATGAACAAAAAATATGACAGCATAACGACACTACAACAAAAGCGGCTTTATAGGATGCTAAATATTTATAAATGTCCTTATAGGATGTTTTTGGGAGTCTTAACAAGTTTAAGACATTTTTGAAATAAAGTGTCCTATGAGCTCTTTATAGACACTTTTGAGAAACGTCATACGAACACAACTTTTTATGTGACACTTGTTTTATAAACTTAAAACTTTTAAAACAGTACATTAAGACATATATATATATGGATCCTATAAAGCTGATTTTTTGTACATTATTCAGGGTTATTCATCATGAATAATACATGAAATAGTTGGTTCTCAAATATTTACGGTTCTCATATGAACTTTCCTTTCCATCCAAATTGATTACATTTTTATCAATTATTTATGCAAGAGTCAATTAAACGGCTATAAATATCGTTGGGGGACTATTTGATCTTATTATCAGGCCCGAAGGAAGGAAGAAAGATTGGTTGAATCTCTAAACAAAATCGAACCTAAAGAGACATCGGAAACAACCCATGATCCCGAAATATTGACTCCAGAAGAACACTTTTATTTTTTGAAAATGGGAATCAAGAGCAAGAATTACGTGCCCGTTGGAAGACGAGGGATATATCAGGGTGTCATTCTTAACATGCATTTGCATTGGAAGAAACACGAGACTCTACAAGTGATTGTGAAAACGTTCACGCCAGACGAAGTGAAGGAAATGGCGGTAGAGCTCGCAAGACTGAGCGGAGGAATTGTGCTCGACATTAAGGATGACGATACGATCATTATGTATAGAGGGAAGAACTATTCGCAGCCGCCTACCGAGATAATGTCGCCTAGGGTCACTCTCCCTCGGAAAAAGGTCATTCCTTCATCCGTCTTTTATGCTTTTCTCTTGTCATGTTTGAGAAACAGCCACTACGACAAAATCAGGTTTTATAAGGACGCCAAAAATGTCTAAATGTCTTAATAGACTGGTTCTATATGACTTACGTTTATAGGAACAAAAATTATGCATCCTATGTAAAAGTGTTGCAATAAGTTTATAGGACGTTTTTGGACGTGGTAACATGTTTTTTAATGATACTTTGAAATAAAGTGTTCTATTAATTTTTTTATTTAACATTGTTTGAAAAAGTGTCTTGTAAAAACAAATGTACAATAAAAGGATGTGTTCATAAGTGTCCTGTAAAAATACTAATATGACATTTTATTTTAAAAGTGTCATAAAAAACTTGTTAAGACGCTCAAAACGTTCTATAAATTTATTGCAATCTTTTTACATAAGAAACAATTGTTTGGTCTTATTAACCTAAGTCCTATAAAACAGTCTATTATGACATTTAGACATTTTTAGTGTGCTATGAATCCGATTTTGTTGTGAGCCGTTATTCCTTTGAGATAGATGACAGGTGCGCGTACATACCACCCTTCCCAACCCCTTCTTTCGAGTGAGATATGCTGAGGGGCTGTTTGGTTGGTTTTCCATTAAGTTATGTACGGAAATAACTTGGCTTAAAAGTTCTCCTCTAGAAGATTACTGAATAAGTCACTTTCTATATCATTAAGCCACTACCAAACAGTCGTGTATAGCTGACCGAATAAGCTGTGAGTCCCATTAAGCTCATTAAGCTGCTAACAAACGGGCCTTGAGTTTGTTTGGTTTGGTTTCCGATCACATTTACACGAAACTTTAGTCCTTTTCATTTTGTTTCTGCATATCTTGCAGGCATTAGACAAATCAAAATATAGAGACGCCCTTCGTGCCGTTAGGAAATACATACCTAGACTCGAGCAGGATCTCGAGCTTCTTCGTGCAAAGGCTGAAAAAGAAACAGTTGTTATGGTTGATGCGGAAACCCCATTAATCGGCACCGATACTCCTGAATCTGAAGAACTTTCGAACATCCAAAACGAAGCTAAACAAAAACTTAGAGAACTCGTTGCTAAAAATGATGAATTCAACGAAGATGATCATTCTGTGACAGGTTCAGAACTAGTCTCGGATTCAGAAGATCTGTCGGATATTTTCGAGACGGATAATGAAACGGATGACGAAGAGAACAATGAAAAACCGCTTTATTTGGATGAATTCGAGAAGTTCCCTTTAAAAAGTAATGATATTGAAGACGATTTTGAAGAGCATCTTCGGCGGATTTCTGCCGAGTCGAAGAAAGAAAAGGATTTGGAACCGGATTTCGATGAGGTTGATCGGGTGGTTTTACGAGCTGCATCACTTTTAAAGAAGAGGAGGAGATGAAGGAGGGTTTCGATGGTCGGACATGCTCGAGTTCCGGTTTTTGACAGTTGGGGTGGTAGTTATTTCGAGATGTTGTCTTGATGAGCAACGAGTTTAGAATGTTGAATTGTTTGATTGGATAGAATCTAAATATATTGAAAGTTGTATTGTTTTTTTTGATATCTATGAGGAGCATTTTCAACCCTTAGGGGTCGTTTACTAAACATTGTCAGTGCTTATCGGTAAAAATTTAACACTATTATTTACTTGTAGGGTAAGATTTTAGTCCATCAAAACGACATTGTATGCAACAATTTATCCGGTAAACGCTTACCGTGGTAAGAGTCGTCGCCCTCGCTTAATGGATAAGACTCTTGGTTCTTGTCTCGCTTTTACCGGGTAAGATTCTTGGTTCTTACCATATTTATCCGATAAGGTAATGTGACTTGGTAAGTGCTCACCCGCGTAAACGTTTGGTAAACGGCTCCTTAATGTTATTTTATAATTCTTTTTGAAAATTTAGCAAAAGTTTACTCCAATAACTGTTAAACTCATTTTTTAGCAGGTGGCCATAGAAGTAAACCCAACTTTCAGTATTAAATTAAAAGGTAAATTGTATGAAAATGTAACGTACTTTAACTTGATTTCTAACATATTTTCAAAACTTTTATTTTGTACCAAAGATGTAAAGTTTTAAACATTTAAGCATCTGGGTAACCGGTTGAAACATTTAACAGTTACCATCTCTAATACCACATTACTCGCCACATTAGTATGATAACCGGTTTATGCTTCAACCGGTTACCCGGGTACTTAAATGTTTAAAATTTTACATCTTAGGTACCAAAATGAAAGTTTTAAAAATAAGTTACCCAAAATAAGAATCAATTTAAAGTATGTCACTTTTTCATTCAATTTGTCCTTAAATTAAAATCAAACATGTTAAAGAGAATCTTTAATAGATTCTTTAAAATAAAGATTTTGAAAATTTTAAAATAGAAAAAGTAAAGAGAGAGTGTGTGTAGAATTCTCCATATGTATAAAACTCCCAAAAGATATATTATTATAAGAGAGCTATTATTTTAATTATATTTACACTGATAAAAACCTCAAAAAAAATATAAATTAAATTTATAAAATATTTTAATAATATAATCAATATTAAAACATCTAAAATAAAAAAATTATTGGAGTTGAATACTTTTATTATATTTTAATTTTAATTCTTTATTTTTAGAGAATTTTTAAAGAATCTACTAGAGATGTTAATAATATAGCTTATTCAATTAAGCTAAAAACCCGTTAAACTTATTTAAGTTTTAGCAAATAAAATAAAAGAATGAATAAAACAGAATTCCAAAGAGTTTGGATCCATTCTCCATAACCAAATACTTGAAGAATTAATGCTACAAAAAGAAGACAACTTTCTTCCATCAAATTTGCACAAATCAAATACATTTTGAAGTTTACAAGTCCCTTTACATAGTTTAGTTTCTTGATACAACTAATACAAGTTTCAAATCTTCATGAAATTAGTCCCTCAACCTCTCAGGTTAGAGATATGATTTGCATACATTATACCCTCCTCAGTCCTCATGTCCTACCCTACCTCCTGGTGGGATATACTCGGTATGATTAATCTGTACGTTCCATATGGGAAATCAAGAATTTCCATTGTCTTCCCTTCTTTCGGCAAAATTCGACATCAAGATTAAGCAATCTCCAAGAATGCTCTTTTAAGCAAAAAGAGCAAATAGTGATGCGTCAAATAACCAATCCGGTATCATAGTCGTTGATATCTTTAGATGCAAGTCGCACTTGTTTTCTTTTCCGTTTTATATAAACTGTAAAGTCGGTTTTTGCCCCATGCCCTAGCTGCAAGCAGTTTAGAGATTATAACGTTGCATTCAGAATTCAAAATTCAAAATTCCAAAAAGAAGTTGCATCCATTTTGGAGATTACAGCATTTACTTATACTATTAAAATAGAGTTGGTTTCATTTACAAACTCAACCATTAATACAAACCAATCCACCATTCATCTAGTCAAATGAATATCTGATTCAAGGAATATTTATATTGCTTCCTAATATAAAGCACTGATCATAATAAATGAACTATGATAATCTAAACTCTCATCTCTATAAATATCTGATTCAAGGAATATTTTATATTGCTTTCTAATATAAAACACTGATCATAATAAATGAACTAAGATAATCTAAACTCTCATCTCTATAAATATCTCAATTAATTGGTTTGTATTAGTGGTTGGATTTGTAAAAGATCTCTCTTCTATTAAAATATTCCATACATTTAATAAAATACTATCGCTCTGTCCTAAACGTTTAACATCAAAGTTTCTTATTGGTGGGAATATAATAAAAAAATTATTTCTCTTTCATAGTAATCATTTTTGGGGGGTTCTCCAAATTTGGAGAATTGCACTCACGCTTTCTCTATTTTGGAGAGAATCTGTTGGAGCAAAAAACTTGTCCGGATTCTCTATTTACTCCATTTTGGAGAATTTGTTGGAGATGCTAAAGGAAATATAAACTAAGAGTTGGATTCCCGTGAGAATTCGTTGTTTTTTTAATGTGAAGGTTTGGTGTTTTTTTTATATGAGTGTTCAGCGAAACCAAAAAACTCATCCAATGGCTCAAACTCTAAGGGTCTGTATGTTAGCAGCTTAATGGGACTCAAAGCTTATTCAGTCAGCTATACATGAGTGCTTGGTAGTGGCTTAATGATATAAAAAGTGACTTATTTGGTAAGCTTCTAAGGGGAAGCTTTATGCAGAAAGCCAAGTTTTTTTTTCCAAACCAACCTCTCCCAATTAAAAAACACGCTCCTGCCATCTATGAAAAACCCCTTCCAAACAAGAACCTTCATAATCTATACAGACAGTCTCGCGAAAACTGGCTTGTCTCATATGATCCCAAGTCTATAAGCTAAATGGCAAGATTCATGAGTGTAATATTGTATGAGAAATACGAACATAAGGTAAGAATGGAATTTATACTCACTTTGTATGCTTGGAGCGTTGATATTTCTACTGTTTCTGGTCTTTCGTTTCTATCTCTCTCACATTATTAACAGCAACTTGGATTTTTGTTGACAGAACTTCGGTCTGCTGCTCAAGGTCTTTCAAAAATGTGCTGAGATGCTCGCGGTAAAAGTTAATTAGTTGATCTTGATGCTTCAACTCTGTGGTGAGTGCTTCAATTCTCCTTTCTTTACAATCCTACAAAGAAAATTCCAGCTAAAAATTATCCCCAAGAATTGGCCTTCACATGGAAGGAAATTAAAACGAAATTATGATGTTAATCAAAACAACTTGTCCAAATCCCAAGCACCAAAGACAAATAATTGACTTTCTCTTGCAAGTTGATCGGTACCACTATGGCTATGTATCGCAAATTAGTTGTTGGCTAATAAGTTAGCTCATAAACCAGTCATGTGTGGTAAAAGAAAAACTAGCTAATAAGCTGAATGTAAAATGACCTAAAAGGGCATGTTGGAAAACTAATTGGAAAAAATACAAGGAGCACAATTGGAAGGGAAAAAATGTGGCAAAAACTATTGGAGTTTAATGAAACGCTACTCGAAATAGCGTTTCAAGATGCTAGCTTATGCCTAACCAAACGGGATTTTTCAATAAACTCAAAAGTTAAGCTAGCTTATGGTTCCCAAACTTAGCCTACGTCTCTTGAACCCTTAGGTTGGGAGTTCAAATCTCTTAGGAGACATGGGTGCATCCGGTTGAACACTAGTCTACCACTTTAGGATCTAATACATATATAGTAGTCCATCAATCTCAAAACAATGTCAATAATGAAAAATGCACAGAAATGTGTAATTTTACACTTTAAGTTAACTAAATAACAATTTTCCCCTTAATAATAGAGGGAGGTAATGAATTTCTCCATCTTATAATCAAGGGTATAATTAGAAAGTAGGCACTTGCTTTTGAAAGTGGACATTTATTTTAGGACAAACTAAGATAAAAATGTGGCCACTTAATTTGGGGCGGAGGGAGTAATACTTATTTACCTCTAAAAATCATAAAAAAGGTTACGTGGAACGAAGACACGTAAAAATTATTATCTTGCATGCTTGCTGGTTTCTTTCCATGTGCTTAACAATATTGTTGAGATGATTAATGCTTTTGATTTCGGAAGAATGTTTAACTGCGAGTTTTGATGGGATCTGGTGCATTAGTGCTGATATGATCGCACCCATTTCAGAAGAATGTTTGTAACATCTAGACCAAGAAAACATTAGCTTTAAGCAAAGGAAGATCACAAATGCTACTTTAATCACTAACAACAGAAAATACAGAAGTTGCAAAGAAACATAACCGATGGTAGGTAAAATGACGACTTACCCCTTCATTGATAGAAAGACAAGCCGACAGTACTAGTGGATGAGTATGCTCTTTTTCGAATCTAGTCACAACCCACTTCCCGAATTTATTTACCCGCACCAGCATCATTGCGTTGCAACCTTGTCTTGAACTAGTATGTTGTTTCCGTATCTGCCCAAATTGGTTCTTGGCTTTTGTATAATAACCCTCTTTATTACAAGAAAGTCGGCGGGATATAATCTTCTTATCAACCTCCGAACGACGGCACTGATCAATCCGCATTTTGAATCCTAAATGCCTTGCATATTCATCATAAAATTTCTTAGCAGCGTCCTCAGAGTCGAACTCCATACCCACACGTGGTTCTGCAACTGCCCTTTGTTCACATCCAACATCACTACCAACACCATCTCCCACACTCCCAGCTGCTAAATTCACATCCACTGTCACAAAAAAGTATGGCATGTCATCCAAATGTATATCTACATGTCTCCATTTAGAATCAAATAAAACTGAAAAAGTTATAAGCAAGGTTTTAAAAGGCGCAATCGGGCCTCAAGGCGTTTTCACTCAATGAGGCGAGGCATAAGCCTCGAGGGGGTTCGAGACGTAAGGCCTAAGGCGGAAATATATACACCAAAATATGTATATATACTACACAGATATATATATATACACACATTTATATACGATATAATATATATATATATATATATATATGTATTAAATTACTAAGGGGGCTGGTTTACTGGTCCCTGACAGATGAAAGGTTTTGTGAAACCGCGAGATAGGCTGGGAGATACGTTGATAGGGTGTGGAAAAATTGGTTGCATGGAAGAAGATTAAGGATCAAACCACGTTTTTTGATTGAGATGAGAAATTACTAGCTTTTTTGGGTTTAAAATAATAGAAGCACACATTGGGGCATTGGGTTCGACTTTTAGTTTTTTAAAATACAAGAAGACACTTATATTATAAAGAGAAGTACTACTACTGACATAGAACTTATAAAAAAGCCAAAAAAACCATTACCAAAGCAGATCATCTGAGGCATACGCTTCAACACCGCCTCATGCCTCGCCGAACCGCCTCACCGGACCAAGGCGTAAGCCTCTTCCAGGGTCCAAGAGGCACCGCCTCGCCTCAAAGCGTAGGCCTCAAAAGATTTTAAAACCATGATTATAAGTTTTCTAGCAAAAGTTATAAACAAAAGTTGTCAGTAGTTACTGACTCCAGTATTACTTCATTCCAAAATTAGCATCTTATTTAAAGCATGCACAAATTATTACAAACTTTGTCTGTGAATGTTTCCACAAATCCTTAACATAGAGATCATCATATACTTGTATGCTCTAGATGTGAAAAAGGAAGATGGAACTCTTACTAGTTGCTATCTTACTTTGATCTGATGTAAACACTATGATCTTCACAACTTAGGGATAATTAAGATGATTTAACCAACTGATTCCTCCCAATGAGCATTTCTTACAAGACTAAGTAAGAAAATTATCGATGTATAGCAACTCCGGGATCAAATTGGGGTTTATACTCTTGAATTAAACATGCCTATCCTGTTGAGAAAATTTGTGTGCCACGAAGAGTGATTAACATAGGTTATGTAGTCTGTGTGTACATACATTAAACATATTCGATAGAATGATGGCGATTGATCGATGGTGAAGTAGCGTGTTAGGGTAAAAGGTTAATGCGGAAGCTTAAAACAGTTGAAATTAGTAAGAGATAGATATAAAAATGACCTAATTCAGCTGTATCTTGTGATGAATCTCCGATACGAGTGCCGATCATCGCCCAAAACTCACCGGTGGAACACCGCCCTGAAGAAGTGGAGAAGGGCGACGGAGGATTTCGTTTTGTTCTTCAAAAAGGCAGACAGAGTCTTAACTCCAACAAAACCCAAACTCTAATATACCAAATGGTATTAAACTATTTTTTTTAATTCTTATTTTGATAAAAATAAAATCAAAAGTAAAATGCCAGTTTGCATAATCTGAAGCGTTGTTAGTTCGTAGTTGATAAACCAGTTGATGAATAAATCATATTTGACAAAAAACTAGCTGATCGAAGAGAACATTTTGAAAAATTAGTCAATTATAATATATACTTTATTATAAAGCATTTGATAAAAACTTTTAAAAACCATTTTTTATGCATAAAGTACTGTTTATTAATGTATATTACTTAAAACTCAAGATTACAAGTAGATTACGTGCAAGTACAACTTATTAAAGCTTCATATCTGAATTCATATAACTAACTGCAGATAACATAAGTTTTAAGTAATATGCATCAATAAACAGTATTTCATGTATAAAATATTGTTTTTATGAGTTTTTATCAAATACTCTATAATATAGAATAGATTATAACAATCATTAATATCTAAAATTATATGACCTTATTGTTTTTTTAAATAAATTGTAGACGCTTGTTTAGAAATACCAGAAACTAATAAACCGGTACTGTAATAAGTAAAACATTGTAATTGTTTTAGGATTTGAGAAGTACATAATGCATGAATATAAAAATTTTATATGAGTCGAATACGTGTGTTCGGTTTCCGTATTTGATTAACATATCTACATAATGTTTGGACGTGTTCAAATACTGATTCGCATGATACGGTTTTTAACAATCGGTTTATCGTATTTCACGAGTTTGATTTTAACCTATTGGTTAAAAACAAAGATAAAATCATATAAATTAATCTCAACCGTCAGATAAATAAATATTTGATTGTATAAATATTTCAATTGTGTTTTAGGGTTGTGTTCCGATGAGAAGGGAAGTTACGGTGATAACCGTAATAATTGATTTTCACCCTTGGATCAATCCTAATTGAATGTCAACACTAATGAGTTGTACCTCAATCCTCTTTTAAAGCGTAATACACGAGTGGACATGAGATCAAAAGTGATCAATGGTTCAGATTTCTTTTTATGCTTCTCACCATAACTTTCATTTTCACACAATCTTTCGTCTTGTTTCTTAATCTAAAACTTTAATCTATTTCATACATATCTTGATTATAACTTTTTACATATTCTATAAACATTTTTATTGTAATAAATGAATCATCGTTATTTTTTATAAACATCTCAATTGTTTGGTTCGTATGTTTTCTATAAAATACTAGGTTTTTACAAATGATCAAGAATCACCAATTTTTTATTTTCAAAAAATAGGTGTTCATAACATAAATGACACAGGGGCCGTTTATCAAACACTTACTCGGATAAGTAAACACTAAGTCACATTTTTTAACTGGATGAATATGGTAAGAACAAAAAATCTTACTCAATAAGAGCGAGACAAGGACCAAGAGTCTTACCCGATAAGTAAGGGTGACGACTCTTACCATGGTAAGCGCTTATCGGGTACATTGTTGCATACGATACTGTTTTGGTGGACTAAAATCTTACCTGGTAAGTAAATGATAGTGTTAAACTTTACCGATAAACACTTACGGGGTAAGTATTTGGTAAACGGCCCCTTAGACATGTATAATAAATTAATAATTATATATTTTTTATTAATTAAATGACATTTTTACCCTTAATTAATATCTCTCTTTTTACCCTTAGGACATTGTTGTGTTGCCGGTGGAGGCGAACTCTTAAATATTTATACATTAATTAAAGGTATATTAAAAAAATTAGTTATCTATTTTGAAATGAGACATTAGCTTTAAGACAAATATAAATAAAAATTTAAACCCTTATTTGGAGACGAAGGAAATACACTAAAAAAAATAAATTCCTTTTGCAATTTATACCCGGAGATGGTTCATTTTAAATCATAATTGTATGAAAAAGTAACGTATTTTAACTTGATTTTTATTTTGGATAACGTATTTTTAAAACTTTCATTTTGGTACCTAAGATGTAAACTTTTAAACATTTAACTACTCGGTTAACCGGTTATCATACTGATGTGACGAGTGATGTGGTATCAAACTCAGTATTATTTGCTAACGTGGTTAGTGACAAGAATTTTTTTAATTTAAAATTAGTCTATAATCGGTTATCTGAATACTTAAATGAATAAAACTTTACATTTTAGATATCAAAATAGAAGTTTTTGAAAGTATGCTACGTGAAATAGAAATTTAACTTTACTTTTTCGTTCGATTTTGTCGGTTTAGGGTTTGGAATTGTCCGAATTCCATCCAAATGTGGTAAAACAAAGAAGAAATTCAACCTCAACAAAGTGCAACCATCGTCAAATTCATTCTAATGGAGTCCATCCACATAGATTCATTGAAGAAAATTCAATGTAAGAAAGCATAAACAGCAGTTGAAATATACACCAAAAGAGCAGAAGTCACCAGTACAATCATGGAAGCAACTGCATTCACCGTCGATCTACTCCCACAAGTCAACATCCCCAATCGAATCTCGATCACATTCACCATTGATAACATCAAGAACAAACATCCCATCACCGATCCAACAGCCGATCCAAGCATCCCGAATCGCAACGCTTTCAGATTAATATGTGCCCTAAAAGCTTCATCCACATCCTTGCTGTTCAGCAGATTTATGGCGAGTTTAAGACCTTGTGCAACCAGAGACGAGAAGAGGAAGAAACTAAACGATACAACCTCGAATACCAGAAGCTTTTTCGCGACGGAGATGTCCGCATCGCAGGCGGATCGGTTCTCGAGGCTCCGTTGGCCCGGGGTGGTGAGAGAAAGTCCGACGAAGACGGCGATTGTGAAGAGAGAATTGACGTTTACGAGTCCATCGAGTGCTGTTACGTGAATGCTTGTTGTTGATGTTGATCGAGAGGATGACGATGGGATCCTCGTTCCGATTTGTTGATCGTAGTACTCTTTTGGATAACCGTCAGATCTGCAAGTGAATAGGAACAAATTAACACAAAAAACGATCAAAATTACGAGTAGAGAGAGATAGAAGAACTTACTCTGCCATTGATGAAGCTTGAAAGCTTTGATTTGTTGATGAAGTAGGGTTTGGCTTAGGATTTTGTGGGCAGAAGCAGGTGTTTGAGTGCAAGGGAAAGCAATCGAGTTTGCTTGCCAAAGCATTAGGCAAGGCAACTTAAGACAAAATATCGGGTGTTTGTTTGATTAAAAAGGAACTTTTAGGGTGTTGTTTGCCAATACTCCAAAGTTGAAGGTACTATTTTACAAATAATAAAGTTTAGAAATAATGTAGATAACCAATTGTTGAAATTTGGTTAATTTATTACAACAAATACGTTAAGGGACTTAATCATTTAAAATAAGAAAATTTATTGATTGTTTTTATTAAAAAAAACAGGTACTTAATCATTCAAAATCAGAAAATTTAATATTTTTTCATTCAAAAAAATAGTTTAGAAGCTTAACCATTCAAAATGGGATAGTTCGTTGGATTTTTATAAACTTGTCCCTTTTACAAAAAAACAAAATGTACCAGACGATGTCTTACGAATTAATTTAAATTATTATATGCATTTTCTTACGTTGAATATACACTCTAAATGGATTTGATATGAAATATGATTTGTTGGTTACTGGTATTGAAAACCCATGTGTGAATCTAACATTTATTGACCTCGTATAAAGATGGCTTAAAACTAAAAAGCCACAATCGGACATCAATAGCAACAACGACAAGCCATGTCGCTTTCTGCAATTTATGTCGTCTCGATTCACGCTTGTAAAGTAACTCCACCATAGCCAATGCGTCATGACCCACACGTTGCTATTATCGGTACAAAAGGCTAACTGGTAGCAATGATGATTAGGTTTTTGAATACTGAAATCATGCATGGATAAAAAACGGTCCACAATTTATTTTTTGTTACTTATTACGATACATTATATAGTGCTCTTCTCGGTTGACTGTTGACTGCCGGACATGATCTCCAGTCTTTTTTCTATTCAGTAATATCCAATAACAGTATTATTCAATTCATCCCAATATAAAAACGTCCAATTTGTTATTTTAGGTTTTTTTATTTTTAAATTAAATGTTTACTTTATAATTTTATCTTTAGGGGCTGTTTACCCAATTTTTTATTAAGTCTTGTATGGATAAATTTGTCTATCTGGATAAATGGGTGGTGTTGTTTACTTTTTTTTTAATCTGAACCAACTGTCTTAATAACATAAATGACCGGTTTACCTTCCAGTATTAGTTATTTGAACATCAAAACAAAAAATCATAAAGAGCCGACGATGGGGTGTCTCATATGGGAAAGGGATGATGCTTTAAATAAGGGGTAGGAGTGTCATTTTTATGGTTGAATGGAGACAATACACTATTTCTATCTGTGCGATTAAGTCATGTTCTGTGC